TGCTGTCCCCATTGCTTCTAGCACGTCCAACGCGAGGTTGTTGTGGCAGGTCTGGAGGATGAATTCCTCGGTGATCGGGTCCCGGCAATTCATCGCCTTGTTCCGGAATCTTTTGACGAAGGTATCGACTAACTCTCCGTCCTTCTGCTTCTCATCGAGCAACGATCCGATAGATATCTCGGTGTCGTCGTCGAAGAAGTTGGCCAGGAACTTGGTCTCCATGTCATCCCAGCTGTTTACGCTGCCTGGCTTGAGGCGGCGATACCAATCGAAGGCGGCTCCGCGAAGAGTGCCGACGAATGACCGCACCATCAGAGGCTCATTACCAGAGATCACCCCCAAATGCGATTTGAAGTAAATCAAATGCTGGGTAGGTGAACCCATCCCATTAAACGGCGTGAAGTTAATTAGATTAAACTTCGCCGGATATGGGATCGATTCCCATTCTCTTGGGTATGGGCAAGGAATGCCTGTTTTCTTCGTCTCTTGAGCGGAAATTAGTGTGTTGATTTTGCTCTCGAGGTTCTTGATCTTCAGGTTTTCGCCGGTTTCTTCGCCAGCATTCTCATTACCACCCCCTGCGTTGACGGGAGGATCATTGGTGTTACGAGCATTTGTATCCTCATCTTCCACATTAATCGGGTTACGATGATTCTGCTCGCCTTGTTGGTTCGCCAATGCTTGGATCTGTTGGTCATGCATTTCTCTCATCTGCTGCATGGCCATCTCCATCTCAAATTTGAAACTTTCTTTCTGCTTAGCCAAAGCGTCTTCAAGCATCTTGGCCATCTGCTCCGCACTTATCATCAGGGCCTCGCGGGGTTGTCCCTCGCTGGATACTGTATTATCTGATGCCACCGCGGAGCCGGCATCAGATTCTTCATCTTCTGAAGGGCGTCTTGTCCGAATCCTACCATAAGTTGCTCGCTCTATGGTTCCGGACTGCAGACGGGTTCTAGGTCGGGAAGCTTTCAGAATCGACTCGAAATCTTCTCGTGCCGATGTCCCTTTGCTCGTCATGTTGGTGGTGACCCTCGGAAATTCTCCGTCTTCAATCACCCTTCTTCTTCGTTGGAAGCGCCTAGGCCTTGGTTTTGGCGTTTCCGCATTAAGTCTTTCAAAAACTGAAACTCTTTCGGGGACCGCCTTAATGCAATTGCATTCCGACAATACCGCCCGAATGAGTTTGGAACAGGGACATTGAATTTCCCGTTCTCGGGGACTCCTCTTCCTGGTTCTATTCGTACCCCCAGCACGATAGTACAACTCGTCATTTTGACAGTCAGAGTAACCTATCGTGTGCGGGCACGCCTTCTCAGGTACAACACAATCATTATCAGATGATAATGTTTCCATCTGAGGTTGACTTGCCTTCTTTGGGCTTTCAAAGGTTACCCGCCTCAAAACATGCCTTTTTGGGCGTGAATTTTCGGCGTGATCTTGGACTTCAATGCGCAAATTGGTGCGCGCAGCTGCCTTGAGGTCTTTGTCATGCTGGAGGTGATGGCGACCCCCAGTATGTTGAGTCGTTCTGGGCTTCTTCATCGGGCCCAAACGCTCGTGAATTGGAGCTTTGCCTCTCACGTCAGGAATTGGACCGAGGCGCTCCAAAATTGGTTTCTTCTTGCGGGATGACTCTGCATGATCTCCCGGAGAAGTTATTGGGATTGACGGCGACTTTGGTTGACTCGCCGGAGTTTGACCTTCCTTAGAAGGCTGCACTGGTTGCTTTTTGGCCTGAGTCGCCACTTCAGACTTAGGCTTCCAGACTTGTCGTGTTGGTGGTGGCTTCTTCTCCACCTCCTTTTGCAGCTTTCTACGGGCTTCCTGAGCTTGAGCCCGTGCCTGCGCTGACATCGCGCGGCGCTTGCGAATGCGCTCCTCGAGTGTCGAACGGTTCCGTTTGACGCGGACCCATTCTTTCTTTGGCGGCTTGGAAGAGTCGCCATTCATTGGTGGTTGAGGCTGTTTGCCTCTTCTGTTCTTCAACTCCGCGTGGTAGCGGAATCCGTCCGTAGACTCCATCGCCTTAGCGAATTGCCGCGCAAGGCGTTGACGACGCCTCTGGCGGGCTCTCTTTGAGAGAGTCACAACGCCCTGAACAGTAGAGGCGTTGGCGGGAGTTGGGTTGACCTGATTGGAGGTCGGTGGAACTAAAAAGTTACAAATGATAGTGATATAGGTGAGTAGGTGCCAACCTAGTTGGGATGTACTCATCTATTGTGATGCGACAAATTCTAAAATAAATTTATACTTGTAAAGGATTTACTGATTATTAATAAAGAAGTTATTTTTATCATCTTTTATTTTTATAATTTTTTGTACTTGTAATTTATGTCATTTTAAGTTAGTTAAAAAATTTATGTCATTTTCTGTAATTTTTATGTATATTTTATGATTTATGGAGATTTTTAAAAATTTTAAAAAATTTAAAAAAATTATAAAAAAACCAGGCCGGCCCGGAGCCCGGCCCGGGTCCGAGCTTCGGTTTTGCCCGGCCCGAGCCCGGTTTGGTTTTCCGAGCCGGGCCGGGCCGGGCCGGATGGACAGCCCTACGTACACACACAGATCGAGGTGAGTTAGGGAAAAATCATGGATAATATGGACAAACAAGGGTCATCAACCCAAGCACCTGTGCAACGTTATTCTCATAAAATCTCTTTCCCAACAAAACAAACTATTCAATCTTCTCGGCTAGGCATTTTGATTGTTTAATAAAGAAACATGAGCTAAATAATAAATCTAGTGAGTATGCTACAAACTATCCGCAATGACAGCAGATTCAAAAGATAATTTTAAAACTAGGTAAATTTCACAACCCTCTGCATGCGGTCAAAAATTACAAAGCCCTTATCAAGGGGTATTTTAGGCATTTAACATGGATCCAATGGGCAACACAAAGATCTTAAGCCTAACAAACAAAGATCAGACATCATGGGCGTAATCTGGCCCCGTGTGAACCAAAACTCGCATGACAATTAGGATTCCTTTTCACTCTAAGTCAATTGGATCCGGATTCTTTACTAATAAAAAGTTTCTAATATCTACTCATAAATAAATCTTAGTGTTCGCGGGGAAAACTGTCGTCTTTTTCATTGAAATAATTATCATCTTGACTTACAAAGATCCGGTCTTTTATAGATCCGGTTACAACTAAATCAAAGAAAAAAGAGAAAAATTACAACTTTCCTTATTTGTCGAACGAATCGCGAGATCCTGTTTTGCGGTCTCTCGCTTTTGTGGGTTCTTTGCCGACGCCGGGGTTAATCCGTGGACCACCGCGCGATCTAGATCCGGTCGGATCTACACGATTATACGGGTATTATTCCACGAAGGGAATAATAGCCGGGAGGGATTAGTCCACCAAGGGAATAATCGCTCAGATCTCGGGATCTAAGACCAAGCTTAGATCCGGAGTGTGATATCGTGTAGATCTCAGATCTGTTCTTTGTCTCCTCTCGAAATCCTGCCTTTTCTGATGCGGGTGTTCGCCGAGGATCAGATCTATACGTGCAAGTCTTCAAGTCTTCAAGTCTTCAAAGCTCTGAGTTCACTCTTCAATCCGGCAGAGTTTTGGCTCTTGAAATTCCAACCTCCGAAAATGAACATTGCCTGGCCTATTTATAGGCTTTCTGAACTGTGCCCGCGCACAGAGACATGTCGGCCACTGTCGGCCACTGTCGGCCACCTCTGGGTGGCCGGCACTGTGCCGAGCCACCCTGAGGTGGCTCGGCTCATGGCCGAGCCACCTCAAGGTGGCTCGGCCACCGAGCCACCCCGAGGTGGCTCGGCCTCAGGGTGGCTCGCAATGGCTGCGTAGCCACCCTTGAGGTGGCTCGGCCACTGAGCCACCTCATGCGGTGGCTCAGCTAAGGCCGAGCCACTTTGAGCGTGGCTCGGCTTTTGGCCGAGCCCCCGCGCGGGCATTTTTCCGATTTTTTCGCAGTTGTGTCCGTTTTTCGGTTTTTGTCCGTTGATTCGGTTGATTGAGACTTTGATTGGTTGAATCTGATTGGCCCAGTAAGTTCGGATTCCTGATTTGGCAGTAAATATACGATCGTCGCCTTAGTGCTCCAGCGACACAGCTGTCTGTTCGATCCGAACTGATCTTGATTCGATCGTGATATCGTCCGAGTCTGTTCTCGGGTTGGATGATCGTTGATCCTTAACACTTCTTGATTCGAACGGTGATTGGATGCCATTCGTCGCTTCCGTGGACTTCGTCGATCTCGTCGCCTCGTTGGTTCGTCGGTTCTGTGCCGAGCTTATGCTAGCGCGACTATAAGCAATGTTATATGCCACACTTAGCCATTTCATTAAAAATGGATCGGTTCAAAATCTCCACCCCTCTTCCTTTCGTCAACCCCAAACGTAATCCTCTTCTCCCCTCACTCTTGCCCCTTGCTACTCACTCCCTCTCCCACTCGTATGTCTCCCCTCACTCCTCCAGCCACAAGCTACGACCACCGTCGTCACCTCATCAGATCATGCCACCAGCCACCTACTCCTCTCCTCCTGCAACCCTCCTCCTCCTAACCACGCCTCCCTCTCCTCGTCTCTCGTCCGTCAACCCGTCCTTCTCTCTCCCTCATTTCTCCACTCTCCTCGCCCGCCTCCGCCATCCGGCGTCCTCTGTAGCCTGCCGCATGTCTCCTCCATCGTAAGTTACGATTCTAGTGGTCGGTGGGCGGGAGATTTTGGTTTCTAACAGACCTCCATCTCGACGGCCATCACTGCATTTTTTGGGGTAATTCGTTACTTTTAAATTTAAGATCGAGTTTCATTTATTTTTAGTCCTTGATTGAGTTTCAATGAAGAAGGTTTCTTTATGTTTGTTGTATGTATGTCAAAACTAAACAACTTGGATTATATATGTGTAGAGAAATGTGTGTAGTAATTCTGATATATGATTGACTATTGCAGGCATTATGGAAGAGCCTGTGAAAGAAAACAATGATAGTTTGGAGTGATCAAAAGAAGACTTGAAACCTAAATTTTTTATGGAGTTTGATTCTGAGATTGTTGCATATGACTTTTATAACGAATATGCACATAGTGAAGGCTTTAGCATTAGAAGAGCTTCTTATGCTGCAGATAAACAACGTGTACTCACTTCAAGAACATTTGTTTGTTGTAAGGAAGGTTTGCGGAAGGCGGATAAGAGAGACGATTTGACGAGAAATCCAAGAAGAGAGACAATGACTAGTTGTGGAGCGATTATGGGGATTAAGTTGGTCAAGCGTACTGGCAAGTATTCTGTTTATCGTTTCTCTGAAGAGCATAACCATCCTCTTATCAACCAAGAATATGTCCATTTTATGCCATCTCATCGAAAAATCACATCATCAGATGAAGCATTTTTAGACTTGACAGCAAATTCTGGTCTTTCGCCGAAGTCTGCATTTGAATTAATGGGTGAGCAAGCATGTGGTAGAGAGTCAATAAGGTTTTCAAAGGTAGACCAAAAGAATTACCTTCGAACTAAATGAAATTTGGAGAAGCTGGTTATCTGATAGAACATTTTTCAAATCAAATGTTGGAAAATCCTTCGTTCTTCTATGAGATGCAGTTAGTCACTAAGGAACATATTACCAATGTTTTTTGGGATGATGCTAAAATGATAATGGATTTTGGTATATTTGGTGATGTGGTAAGTTTTGATACAACTTACAAACTTAATGAAGCAAATCGACCATTTCCGGTGTTTGTTGGATTAAATCATCATAGAGAGACTATTATTTTTGGAGCTGCCTTAATGTACGACGAGACCGCATCATCCTTTGTATGGTTGTTTGAAACCTTTTTAAAAGCAATGTGTGGGAAGCCTCCACAAACATTTTTTAGTGATTAAGATGTAGCGATAGCCAAGGTTGTATTACATGTGATGCAAGGTACTTACCATCGACTTTGTATATAGCATTCTTTTTTAATGTATATGACCTTTTTTTGTACATGTCAGGTACTTATCATCGACTTTGTATATGGCATTTATGCAAAATGCTGTTAAGAAAGTTGGCTTCTTATTCCAAGAACACAATGAAGAAGATGAAGGCAATGTGTTCAACAAATTTCTTTATCAAATTGAGGAAGAGGATGAGTTCTTGAGTGCTTGGCAGTCCACGCTGGATGAGTACAATGCACATGATGATACTTGGGTAGCTGCAACATTTGAGTGGACATGGTCGGTAGGAATGCAAACTACACAACTGAGTGAAAGCTTTAATGCTAGTTTTAAGGGGTATTTGAAATCAGACCTACAATTGCCTGAGTTTTTTACTCGCTTTGTAAGAATGGTATTTGATAAGCGGTATAAGGAATTGGAAGCTGAGTATGATTTGTTCCGGATTGTTCACTGTAAAATGGAGGTAAGTATCTTGATACATGCACGAGAAGTTTATACCAAAGCCATATTTAAGGTATTTCAAGCTCAGTTTGAAGACTCTCTAAAGTCTTCCATAACGAAGTGTGTGTCTAATGGTGAAAAGTATATCTTCACTGTTGTTAGGGATGTGCTCTTTAAGGAGAGGCTAGTAAAAAGAGAAGGTTAAATTACAGTATCTTGCAACTGTAGGATGTTTGAAACTATAGGTGTCTTGTGTAGGGATTGTATCAAAGTGATGACAGAAGGCAGAGAAACTACACTGATAAAAAAGATACCTGAGCAATATATCTTAGAGAGGTGGACAAAAAAATACAAGAGTTGAAAATGTTGTGCAGGGCATGCATGAGCATGAGATTGTAGAGAACCCAAGGCTGAAACAAACTTCTCGATATAGAAGTTTATGTTCTATGTTTGTTCGACTTGCATCAAGAGCATCTGAGAGTGAGAAGACATATGAGGCAGTAGATATGGAAGCTGATTAGTTAGTAAAGATGGTTAAAGATATGTTACGTGTAGAAATAAATGGTGAAAAAGATGTGGAAGATGAAGCCCCAAATGTCTATGTTGATTGCTCTAATAATGTAATCGCTGTGAATGCAAAGGGATTCAAATAGAGAGAAGCTACACATCGTTGAAAACGTCGAGCAAAGGGAGGTTTTGAAGCTCAGTTAAGCAAAAACAAAAAGAAGCTCGCACAGGTCTTATATTTAACTGTAATTGAAGTCATTATTTACTTCTTGCTGAATATAGTCATTATTGATGTCTATGCAATGATAGGTAACTAAAGTTCCAAAGACATTGCGATGCAATTGACCAATCTCATGTACCTCCTTCACAATAATCTCAGGTTTTAAAACAATGCTTCACATTGTGTATAATGTGTTTTCAAACAACTATAGTGTTATATGATTAATTACTATCAATTACAGGTACCTATGCACTCTCCTATGATGGTTGGTAATGGTAGATATATGTCAATGCTCTTTCATCCGTATAACGTGAGTGTGTGCTTGCTATAAATATATGATTTACTTTTTTGCTATTTGTTTATATTACTGGTATTTTGATATATACATGGGCATCAATTGAATATGTCAGGTTCACAAGAATTTGTTCAATCAAATATCATGAGATTTTCATTTGCACAAGACTCAGAAAAATCAAATTCTGAGCAGAGTTCAACTCCAAGACCGAACATTTCTTCAACTTTCAAGGGAGATAACTGGTCAGCTACTCCTCTACAATCCATACCTGAACAGAGGAGCTCTAATACTGGTATTAACATATCTTTGCCTGGGGGTTAAGGAGATGGAATTTTGTTTGCTTGTATTTCTAACTAGCTTCCTATAACTTTTGTTGTGAAATTTAGACATTTTCTTAATGAAACTTATGTTAGGATTCTAGATCTGTAACTTTATTGACTTTTGGGGAGTTTTCTGTTAATTGTTGTTGCTATTTGTATTTGTAACACCTGATTTTTTTAGATGGTGCTCGAACTCAATTATGAGTTGCTTGGATGAACTTTAAATCAGTGATCTTTCCTTGAGTTGTTTTGCTTGGAGTTGTTAGTGGTGGGTTTTCTTTGTGCAATATGTGCAATATAGATGGATAAAGCAAATTCGTTGGTAGTTGATGTTGCTAATTTCTTTTGATTATTCATCATACCCAGCATTGCTTCTTCCCTATCATTTTATTCCTTTTATTGTGTTTCTTTTATAATTTCTAAGAAACATTACATCATACCAAAGTTATACGTTATATACATTCAGACTGGGAGATCCGCGATGCTTAAATTGCACACTGAAGCACCACTTCAACCACCACAAGTATTCATTACAGACACTGCACATGCAAGCACCACAAATATTCTTAATATGTGACCACAACCAAATAATTGACACAAACAAAAAGAGCCAAAAGGAACATAGAACATTCAGTCTCATGAAAAGTTGAAACATGGAAGAACTACAACACTGAATATTTTGTTGTACATGTACACAATAAAACTTAAGATAAATATTTCTTACTACAATTTATAGATCAAGAAACCCTCTAAATAGGAGAAAGAAAAACTATTCTACAGACATACTTGACTTAAAAACAAAGACCATCCCCGCCATCTTCATCATCTGTCATGTTGTTTATAACTCCTTCGATTATGTTCTTCACTTTAGCCTTTCTATCTATGAGGTCGGAACAATAACCAGTTAGAGTATGCTTATCAAGCTTTTCCTTTACTTTTGCCTTATTATTTCCCTGCAGGAAGACATTATTGTCAGAATAATAAACAAGATGAAGAACAGACCAAACTTATTAAAGGAACACATTAACCAGTTTGAGAAAAGTGAACTGTAAATATGCATGACTCAACTACCAAATAACCAAAAGTTTGTAAAATTTAAATTGACAAACAAAAGTATAACAAGTTCATAAAAGAGTAAGTAATTTAGATACATTGTTTTTAGTCCAAACAAACCGAGAGAACTGGAGGATATTCCTTTTCAAATTGACCGACATTACTACAAGGGCTTACATCTTTCAGTTATGTAGATATATTAAGAAGAAAAAAATCATAAGCAAGCACTGCAATCAATCTACACCCAGAATCCAAAATCAACAACAATCAATCTACACCCAGAGTCCAAATCCCCATCTCTATAGCCACTAATTTCAGCACAACCAATTAAAGAAAAAAAAAGACTCATTACCTGCAGCGTCGATTCAATCTTGCGGCGGCGATGATGTTCGGTGGGGGACGGATGAGGAAGAATGCACCTGCAGCGCCGATTCAAGATTTTTAGGGCTTGATGGAGATTGAGAGCTCGAGGGAGATCGAGAACAGTCGGCGGAGATGAGGGATGTCGACGGAAGAGGAGTTGGGGGATGTCGGTGGAGGAGGGGATGTCGGTGGAGTTAGGGGCCATCGGCAGAGTTGGGGGATCTCGAGAGAGAGCTCGAGAGAGAGCGAGAGTGGGTCGGCTGAGGAGGTGGATGTCAGCGGAGTTGGGGGAGCTTGAGAGAGAGATCGAACGAGAGAGATCCAGATTTTTGGGGTTGACGGCGAGATGATGAGGAGAGGGAGGCGGTGGTGAGGAGGCGGGTTGAGGGGGAAGAGGAGTAGGCGGCTGGTGGTGGCGGATCTGATGGAGGCGACGATGAGGGGAGAGAACGAATGGGAGAGGGAGTGAGCAGAGGCTGGAGGAGTGAGGGGAGAGAGGATTTGACTAGGGTTGATGAAGGAGAGGGGTGGAGATCTTGACCGTCCATTTTAATGAATGGCTAAGATATGTTTATGAGTACATATTAGAAACTTTTCATTAGTAGAGAATATGGATCAAATCAATTAGGGTACCTTTTCACTCCAAGTAAAGAATATGTCTCACTTCAACTCTACGTGAACTAAGACCCGCATGATTGTACAGAACTTAGAACAACCATGCTTGATTTGGCACCCATCATAAGTCAAATCATCAAAATTCTTGCATTAAAGGCATTGGATCTTCCCCCATATGGTGTTAGATATTTTGTTAACAAAAGACAATTTTGTCTTCATGAATTATAATAAATATTGTAATTAAAACATGCAATTAAAATATGTGTAACGGATATATAATTATGAGGAACGTTACAAAATTTATGACGAACGTTACAGAATTAATTACGGGTTTTGTAACGTCTTTTCCAACCCTATATATATATATATATATATATATAGGGCAACTTTCTTCATCTGAGCTGAAGCTCTGCACTCTCGCCCGAGTGTGGAGGACGGCCGTTTCCGGAGATTTTTACCGCTAGGGGGAGGGAACCATCTGCGCCAGGACGATAGACGGGTTCTCAATCTTCTAGGGTAGTGAATACACGACTGCTCCCGTTCAGGCCAGTTTTAATTGTTTAATTTTTCGGATTTATCTGCATGCTATAATCTTAATTATTTGATAAATTCCCAACATATGGCACATAAGGACCAAGGCAAACATTCTCTTGTCTTACACCCCAATCAAGATCAATACCATTGTTTAACAAGACCATGCTAAGGTCAATGAAAATGATGTGCTAAATGTGATTAGACCCAATAGAGCCATGCACAACATCCTAGCTACCATGCATTAAACGTACCTTGACGAAGAGATGGTGCACAAGTAAAACCTTATAAATAGGACTCCACCATTATTGCTCAATCATGATCATCACAATTACTATCATCAACTAGATCACTATTCCGAACATCACATCCGATTTTTGTGCTGTATGGCGGTGTAGATAAAAATATGCTAAGTTGTAAGTGTACAATAATTAAGTTATAGTATTTATAAGTATCAATCCGCAGGGAAGGAAAATATTAGAAAGACAATCAAATTTGGGTTCTTAGATTGTGTAGGAAACTAATGAGAGTAGTAAATAAAAATGGTGTGTGTTTTGGATAGAGATTTGTCACAAAACTAAAAGGCTAAAATAAGACGAAAGAATGATAGAAAAAGAAGAAAAAAAAAGCAAACCGAAACAAAATCAAATCAAAACAAGAAGTGAAGGAAAAATTTGAGAAAATCTAGAATAAGAATCTATGATTGAATCCACTAGTTAATTTCAATCTAAAAATAAGAACTACTCTCTTTTTATTCACATACTACTTTTGAATTCTTAAGCATAGAAAAAGACTCCGGACTAAAGATAACTTAGCTAAGAAAGAGTGGATTGGTAATCTTAACTGCCCTCTTTGCAATCAGCTACTTGAAACTCAGGTTCACCTCTTCTTCTCTTGTTCTGTTTCTAAAGCTGCCTAGTCTATCTTTCTCCCCCAAGTCTCTTTTGCCTCTTAGCCCTATGATATTGTTTCACTTATAACCTTGAAGGATAACTTTTTGAGCATCCGTAATATCAAAATTCTGTGGAGGGTTCTTCTTCCTACATTTTGCTGGTGTAGTCGGAGATGTAGAAACAAACTTATTTTTGATGATAAAGCAGCAAACCCTCAGCTGATTGCTTCTAATGTTGCCAAATTTATATTGTTATGGACATGTGCTACGGGTACCAGAAAAGCTCAGAGACAGCACAAGGCGGCAATTGATCTTAGTTTGAACAATCTGGCCAGTGGGGGTACGGAGGATGTAGTAGGGGATAACTTCATGGAGGGCAGCTGAGGGCTGCTCTCCTTCTCTGCCCTCTCTTTTGTGCAGGACTTCTCAACATGCTCTTGTTTTTCATCAGCTTTGTTTTCGTTATTTTTAGTTTTTAGGTTCAGTGATACTTTGGGTTTATACTGGGAGTTTCTGATATCGTGGAAGCTATTGGTGTGTGGGTGACGACAAGGTCCGCTCATCACTCCCCATATCTTCCTCTGAACTCTTTTCACTTTCAAATTTTGTAAGATTGTCAGTTTGTCACCCTGCTTATTATTTCAAAAAAAAAGGTTACTCAAAATAGGCATAACCTATTAAATTTACATCCAAGCAAATAACATTATTCATGAAAAAAATAAAAA